AGAGGGATGCAGGGAGGGATCGACACATCCCCAACTGCACTCCTGCTCTGCCACTCCCAGAGCCCACTCAGGTACACCCCCCACAACAGACCACTTCCAGCAACCTCTCTGCACCAACCCCACAGCCCAGCCCCAGCCAGGCTTCTCCAGAGCAGCCCTAATGCTGCAGGTACCATTCCCATGGTTGGTGGCACAGGGAGCAGCACTGACAGTCAGCTTGATACGGCAAATTCATCACCGACCAGCTGGGTGAGTCAACAACGAAGCTAAAAGAGAACATTGACATGGATTATCCCCCACCAACAGCAGAGAAGAACCAGTGGGACCATTTGTCAGCAGCTCATCCGTTGGATGTCACAGGTACCCATCCCAGTTGGGGGCATGCCGGGTGTCCCCCTCCCACACTAGAGGACACAGCGAGTGGGGAAGGGAAGACCCCAGAGTCCCTGCAACCTTCAAACTGTTTAATCAATAAACAGCACATTTCCCTCAGCAGAGCCCCCCCGAAAACCCAGCCACCTGGGCAGGGTCCCCCACACTTCAGAGGGCCAGAGGCTGGGTACATCAGCAGCACTGGTGGGAGTCTGCTGTAGACAAATGAATCAGCAGAACAGATGAGCAGCTCCTGAAGCATCTACCCACAATCTACAGCAAGAAGAGATGTAATTTCAGGCTTGTGGCAGATGCTGGAGGGTTTGTGGTGCTAAAAAAAAAAAATAAATCTCAACACACCTACATATAGATAGCTTTCTAGGACAAGGAAATCCTGCAGTAGCTGAAAGAAAACCAATCAGAGCTCTCAACTGCATTTGAGGTAAGGAAACAGAACATGGTCCAACACAACATCTCTAAAAGGTCAGTTTCCCAAAACTAGAAACAATCAAACAAAAATAACTGAGAGAAAACACCTAAATATAAGTAACTGTGACAATCCTTATTGGGAAATGTTTAAAGATGCCTTAGTAGAGCCCTCCTTCGCACCAAAACCAGCAATACTATGTTTAAAAAAAATGTTTATGTGGTTTAAAATAAGAATTTTTTAAGACAAGACACAAATTTAAAAATAAATATGTAACAAATTGAGAACTCACTATAAAATTAGAGCTAGAAATCAACACATTTAATAAAGAAAGCTAAAAGATATCAAAATAACTACTGGCAATAGGTACATCAGGAAAAAAAGCAACCATTTATCAATACAATAGGCTTGATGCTAAAAAAGTGAAAGTATCCTGATATACAAGATGGTGGAAATATAAGCAATACTTTTTATCTTTGTAAATAAGGATGACTTAAATCTCAGCTATAGAAGCAAAATTCTCTGAAAAGTCAGTTGGGAAGATACCCAACACCATCTGCTAACCATCCTTCACATCTGTAGCTAGAAAACTTGCACTCAGAGCATATGAAGGAGCTCACCAAATTCCCAACACTGACTTAAAAGAAAAAAAAAAAAAAAACCAAAACAAAACACCAGAAACATGTCCCAGGCCAGCCAGGAAGTTCCAGAGGTCTTGGAATAATAAATAAAAAACCCCGCTCAAGCAAACAAAAACTTAGCACTGCGCCAGTATTTCCAGAGGGCAAACGGCTGACCCGGGAAGTGCAGGCTGGTCACCCTGCCCATGCTCCCGGCAGGGCAGGGAGCAGCCAGCAATCAGGGGGTGGAAACACAACTCCTGTTAGTCAACACAGTTTTCTGGCTGGAGGGCTTGTCAAACGGATCTAGTGTTTCTTCTGAGAGTTTGCATTTGGCTGACAAAGGTAACTGTGTTGACATAATACACGCAGACTTCTGTGTGACGCTTGACTTTGGCTGGTGTGACAGCCCAAGAACAAAATCCCCCACACTGTGCAAACAGCAGTGTATAGTGTATATCCAGAGGATTTAAGAGCCAGTTGAGCCCAGTGACCTCGTTAGAGTTATACCTGCACTGCCTGCCCCCACAGAGGTTTTGGATCCCCCAAGAGATGACGTTCCCAAGAGGGAAAAGGGCCCATGAGGCAGCAGAAATTGCTCTCTGCACACAAAGCTCCAGGCAGCAGCACTGCTGGGAGACGTGGGTTTCCAGGGAATGCATGTTTGGGCTGTGTGCCTAAGTTTGCAGTGAGTTCAGAAGAGCTAGAGAAGGGTATTGCAGAGCCTCTGCCCAGGGAGCAGGCTAACTCATTGAAAAACATTGGCTGGTTTTAGTGCTGATTTTCACACTTGTAAAGCTAGCCAGAGGCAGAAATGGAAAGCTGTCAACTCAGCCATGCCAGCAGCCTTTGGCTGGTCCTGATCCTGCACGTGCCACATAATACATGGCTCACTCATATTATTTCCCACTTGGGTCCTAATCTGTGCTCAGCACTCTGAGCACCTTCCAGTAACAACACTGGACACATCAACATACCTTACACCTTCCCACATGGAAAGTGGAGTAATGTGATTTCTCTTGGTAAGTTTTACAGGGGAGTTCTTTTGCTTCCCAACTCCCCCAGAGCAGGGATATCAGGGTGGCCAGGTTTGTCAGAGTTTTCAATTGCCATAGAAGTTCACCTCTCCCATAAAGACAGACAGACATCTCTCCTGCCAGAGGAGCAGAGTTATTTCCCACGCCCTTCACCCTCAATCACATAATTGTCCTGCACTGTGAACATACAGACCAAAGCCTGCAGCTTTGATTGAACCTCTCTGACCACACAAACAACTACAAGTGTCCGGGTAGCTGAATGTAGGAAAGTTTAACGCCAGCAGTTCTCCAGCAAGACTGACTGAACGCGAACTGTCCATCACAGAGGAAGCCTGTGGCTTTCAGTGAATCCCGATTTCCTCTGCCCACAAGCACCGCCCACCTCCTTCTCCTCATTCAGCTCCAGGCAACTGCTGATATGAGACCCTGCCCTACAGACACACTCGTACTCTGCCCGTTGCAGCTGCGTGCAGAGCAGAGATGCCGAAATGTGACATGTACTGCAGGGAAGTCCAGGGGAAAGGACCAAAAACCCCATCCTCACAAGAGTGATCACCCACCACGGCTACTGAAGCAGTGCCAGTTACACATCCCAGCCTGAACACAGCTTATCCTGCCAATGCAGTTTTAGGTCCAGCTGGACAACCTTGCATGGGCTTGCTCCAGAAATGGAGGGAACGAAGCTTGGCGCTTCCAGGATTTGACAAGAGCTGACACAGCCATCACAGGTGCCCTTTTCATTTATTGAACTGGCTTAGGGTATGTTTGCACATGAGCAGATAAACTCTTTGTCCAAAGGACTTCAAACTGGCTGCCGGGCTCCAACTGAGCCCCTCTCATTCACGTGGCTGTTCACATGTCAGGAGGAGCATGAACTGAGCTGAGATCCCTGACTTTTTGTCCTGGGTCCAAGAAGGCTGACAGACTGCTTTTTTCCCAACATGGAGAGAAGCAGTATTGTCTGAACATCCTAAACACACATGATCTTCTCAGCAAAAAGACAACAGTTAGACGCTGGTTAGACATTTAATCTTACTGAACTTCAGACCATCACCATCAACCTGACCATGTCACCCTTCTGCTGTTGAACCCTTAGTGATTGGGCACAGGCATTCCCAGTTTAGGCTGTGACTGAAGGAGAAGCAGAAGTGAACTCAGGTGAATAAAGCAGGATGGGTCTCCTGACACCACTGCTTCAAAGCCTGTCACACTGAATTCCCCACTAGTGACACTCAAGTTTTGTGTGCAACAAGAGCCTCAGATCAGGAAGGTGAGCAACTTGTGTTAGCTTTACTCATACACCCTGATAGCTTGTATGGAGAGCAGACAACAAGCTACTGACAAGGATTAAGATTTGGAAAATATCTCCATGATCACTTCAAGAGAAAGTTGCTCTTTTCACTTCCACAAGAACTTTAACTCAACTCACAGCAGAGGCAGTCTTAAAACAAGAAACACATTCAAGCGATTAACAGTTTGAAGGTAATAAAAGCAGTTAATAGACTCAAATCTGCTTGCTTCCCAACCAGCCAGATAACATTAACCACTAGTTATCTTGGGAGAAGGGAAGGGTGTCTCTTTTTCTTTCCCAGAACCACTGATCACAAGCTTGCAACACCCACATTTTAAAGCAAAGCTGAAGGGAACAGCAAATACCTTTTCCAACCATACTAAATTTCTCATAAACCCAGTACAGCATGTCTGTGTACTGTGGGTACTAGGGGCAGCGTTTTGTGTACCAGTTAAAGAGCAACTCACCTGCTCAAGCCAATGGCCATTTCTGTACTACCTATCATTAATGAATCAATCAAATATTAAAGGCACTGGGACAAACTGTCCCGTCAGCCTTACCCATCAGGTACTTTTACAGAACTCTGTTGAGTTACTCCACAGTCAGGGAGGACCGAGAGAGACAGAGATCAGCGTCTCAAAATGCTTACAACACATCATGAACACTGGAGATATTTCATTAAAACCACTTTACAAGCTATGAAACTGAAGGTCATTTTATGTCTTTCTCTATAAAAGCAGACAGCGGTGTACTCCTCAGCAAAACATATGCTACAGTACAGTTTAAGCAACACACTACTTGAAACTCCTTACAGAGCAACTTACATCCAATATTACTTTGCTAAAATTGATATCCAGTACTATTTGTTAAAATAACAAGACTTTGAAGGAAAAAAAATTTACACCCTCAAACCATAAAGCCTTCTTAAAGACGTTTAATAGTATCCACTGCACAATTTTCCTGGATTAATTCATTAGGGAGGTTAATACATAAGGCTTCAAAGCAGACTTCTAAATTACCCATGGAAAAAATCATGTAAAATCTTACTCTGCTTTCAGCGTCGCAGCTTTACGATGAAAATACTAAAACATTTGCAAGGCTGGAACACAAAAGCAAGTGTTCAGCGTTGTAATGGACTCGTCTCAAAAACCCGAGCGCTCTTCCTCCGCACCTGACACGGCACTCGGAGTTCTCACCTGCGCCTCTGCCCCGCTCCTCCCAGCGCGGGTCGGGTGGAGGGACGTGGGTTTTACCTGAGTTCGGGCTCCTCCACGTGCAGCTGCCTCTGGGGGACAGAAGTTTCGAAAAGTCGGAGGACAGCAGCAGCGGGACGGGACGGACAGAGAGCGAGCCGGGAACCCGACGGCAGCCCGCTCACCGGAGAGAACAGCACGGGCGGGTGCTGCTCCGCTCCCCGGCAAGCTCGGGACGCCGTCGCCGGGGGCAGCTCGGACCCGGGGGTCCCCAGCCGGAGATGCCTCTCCACGGCTCCGCTGCGGGGCTGCCGGTCCTGCACCCGCCGCCCGCACCGCGGGCTCCTGCCCCGCCACCACGGCCGCGGGCCGTGCGGGGCCGGAGCAGCGGGAGCCCGCGGGCGCGTGCGGGGCCGCTCCGCTCCGCTCCGCCCGCCGCCGCCCCCGCGCCCGCCCCGCGCTCACCGGCGGTTGCGGAGCTTCTGTTCCGCAGCACGACAGGATGACCAGCGCGTTGCCCAGCACGTCTCACCACGAATGGTGAAGATAAGCACGGCGCCCGCCAGGCCCGGGCGGCCCCCGCCGCCGGCCCCCTCCAGCCGGCAGCCCGGGCAGCTCCCGTTGCTCCCGGCCGGCTCATGCGCGCCTCTGCCCGCGCCGCCCCAGCCGCCCCGGGCCCCTTCCCTCCTCCTCCCGCCCCGAACGGCAGCTGCTCCCCGCCGGGCCGGCGCGGGGAGGAGCGCACCCCAGGCCCCGCGCGGGCGCCGTCCCGGGGCGCTACCCCGCCGCCCCCCTCTCCCGCGGCGCCGCCGCCCTGCCCGGGGCGGGGGCTCGCGGTGCGCGGGGGCTCGCGCCGCTCCCGGGCCGATGGCGCCACCCCGCGCGGCCGCGCCGGCAAGCGCGGGGCGGGGGGACCCCCCGCAACCCCCGGGGGGGACTCGCCGACGGCCGCTCGGGCCGACCGGCCCCGCCAACCCCCTGCCCGCCCGCCCGCCCGCCCATATCACCCTCCCGGCCGGCCGGGAGCGCCTCCAGCCTGCGCTGCTGCCGGGACGCTCCCGCCCTCGGACGTTTTCCGAGTAGCTGAAGGATTCCCTCTGCCCGTCTTTCCCTCTGCCCGTATTTCCCTCTGCCTGTGTTTCCCGCTGCCCCGCGGCTCCGCTCCCAGCCAGCCACCCCCGAGGCAAACCCATCCCCACAGGGACTTTTTTCAACCACGGAATAATATACCATTCGCTTTCGGTGTAATACCTTTTACCGGTTGCAATGTGTGCGATGCGGAAGCCTCAGCAACAATTTAAACTCGAGCCAGCGCCCTGGCACGCTTCTCAGCCGCAGGAAAACAGCACGCAGCTGGGATTCCCGCAGCCCAGACCCGCGGCTGGGGCTTCCCGGCACATTCTGTGTTTCATTCCACACCAGCATGAGCGAGAAGAGACCAAGCCTCTGTGGTCAGACTGTGGCCGCAATACTGCAACCACATGAACTCTCAGCTTTGTTTAGAAAACAAAATCAGAACATAAGTTTTACGGATAATATGGAACTGTAGAATGGTTTGGATTGGGACAGACCTTCAAGATCACACAGTTCCAATCCCCTGGCTGTGGGCAGGGACACCTTCCACTAAGACCAGGTTGCTCAGAGCCCCATCCAACCTGGCCTTGAACACTCCCAGGGATGGAGCATCTACAGTTTCTCTTCCAGCTCTTTTGTAGCCCTTTAGGTACTGGAAGATGCTGTAAGGTGTCCCTGGAACCTTTTATTTTCCAGGCTGAACAACTCCAACTCTCTCAGACTGACTCCATAGCAGGGCAGCTCAGCATCAGCTAGGACGCTGTGCTGGAGCCCGGGTGGGGGCAGGACAGAGGGCAGGGGCGCTGGGGCTGCCCATCGCCACCTCCTCTGGCTTCGGCCCAAAGCCACCCCTCTGCGTGCAGGTCAAAGTGCCCAAGCAAACATAGAGCCTGTGTCACAACCCGTCATGGGGGTTTTACAACTGCCCGGTCGAGTGAATCAATAACAAAGCTGAAAGCGAACGCTTTGATGGCTCATTCCCCGCCGGCAGAGTACAAGCAGCAGCACAGCACAGCCGAAAACAGCAGCAAACAGGGTCTGTCCCAGCCTGGTGGTGCGGGTTCAGAGCCAGCCCCGCATCTGCACTCAGACCTTTGATGAGACAACCTGCCTTAAATGTCTCTTTCCCTTTTCCCCGTGGCTGGAGACCACTCAGTTTTGAAACAAAAACGGAGTTTTTAAAGGTAATGATCAAAGTCCTGAATTCTCAAATTGTAAAAGAGCATTTTGGCTTGAAGTTGAGCTTCTTTGGGCTTCCTTTTGACTCTGCACTGAATTCTGCATAGTTTTGCAGGTTTTGCGTAAACTAAATAATTTTATTCACAGACTTTCAGCTGCTCTGTGTTCAGGACCTACCTGTGGTGCAGAAGCAGGGTCAGCTCATATGGACAGATCCTTTCAGCACCTTTCACCTTCACTCTGCTCTTCCCTGACAGCTTTTGCACCACTTTTAAGATGCTCTCGGGTGGTTTTCAGCTGTGGAGAGCTGGGACGTGACTTCAGAGGACCTGAACTTTATATACAGGTGTGTCGGCAAAAGCACCAAAGCTGCCCAACTTATTTTGGTGCATAATTTATACCTGCAAAAAGCAGCCTTCTTCCACACCTTGGTGTGGGTGCCCTGGATGGGAAGGCCTGCAGAGCTCTACCAGGCACGTGTACATCTGCACAGTTGCAGCAACTAATCTCTCATAAGACACTTAGAAGAAATTTTGATAGATGTAGTGAGCAACTAGAGTGATTTAGATGAATGATATTGAGGCTGTTTCCTCCCACCTTCCTGCTAAATGGTCTCCTCACTGCTTCAATTAAGACAAGACTCTAGGAGGCAGTGGCAAGGGAAAAAATGAAGGCAGAGGTATCAATAAGACCTTTTTAATTACACTTTACTGGAAACCGCTGACATAAATCATACTGAAATAAGAGTATCCCCAGTGTGTTAGAAGAATTTAGGCTCATTTGCTTGTGCAAGGATCATGAACACGATCGCAGGAGAAGGCAACTGAATTAGAGTCAGAAACCAGAGCTCTTCAGTACCCAAACTACACTGGGGAGGGTGTGTACCTGTATGCAAACAGGAAGATCAAGTAGAATGTAATCACTGTAAAATGTTGAAGCACCATAAATGCACACTCCTTGTGCAAAAATGTCACAGCTTTGGTAATGGTGAGGCTGAGAGGGGCACTCCTGCCGTGCCACTCACACCCATCACAGCAGCTATGTGCAGAGAATTGTTCATCCCTCTCTCTGTGCCCCTGCCTCGTGTCCAGGGGCACAAAACACCCCCCCTTCCCAAACCTACCTACCAGGGCACACAGCTTAGTAAGAGTTAATCCAGGTATACTGTAATAAATGAAAGCTTACATAATTGAAAAATAGCTGAGGCATTAATCTTCCTTCTCACTACCATGAGTCCTCTTTAAAAAGATTATTTTGTCTTCAGAGACAGCTTTAATGCTACTTAATGAATCGCTTATAAATGAAGGATTTTTTTTCTCCTCCTATACAGGGAGAGGCTGACTACTACACTGATTTTGTCACAGAGACAATTAACTTTTGTCAAATATACAAAGACAATGGCTGTTCTCCACAAATACTACTCTACAGAATTTGGCATATTTAAGGCCAATTTGTCTTGCTATTTTGACTGAGCCTGATAAGTGACAGTGACATACCCATTCCCTTTAGCTGGACCTGGGGAACTCCTCATGCTTACCAAAATAATTAGTGGCCCCCTGGGCATTCCCTAGAACAGGTAGGTTAGCACTGGATAAGGAATACCAGGATGGAAAATCCAGAATTCCAACATGAGCTCATTCAAAGGTGCCTTGGTGTCCCACTTCAAAGCAAGGAAGAGACATGAGAATAAAGCAGAAAGACAGAAAATCAGGGCACCAGGAAACCTCCCCCTGAACTTCTATGCTGACTTAGTTGCAGGCAGGGTGCAGGCAAGGTGTCTTTGATCTGTAACTCCCTCCCTGCAAAAGCAGGCACCAGGAGCACAGGGACCACCAGGATCATGGGGCAGGTTAGTGGTTTCCCCAGAGCAAATAACTCAATTCTGTCCTTAAATCCAGCATGTGTCTGGGAAGCAGAGTTGTTTCCAAACCATTATCAGAGAGGGAATCACCATTATCCACCTGCAGCTCTCTAGCCAAACACATACAGCGGTAGTTCCTCTCTCCCAAACTTTTTCTTGTCCATTTGGACTGTGCAGCTGTTTACTGCAGAGGCAGCACAGCCGTCCTGCACATGGCGTAGGAGAATCCCAGTCTTGGGAAAAACAGCACTGGCTGCTTCAGCAATAAACAGATGAGTACAGTAGCTTGCCCCGAGCTGCCTTCGCAGAACAGATCAACAAACAAGCGGCTCTATTTGTGCCGTCGTGCTTGCCTGGAAACTCCAGACAAACTAATAACCTCGTGTTCAGCCACTTCCCCTCTTTGTCCCTGGAGCAGCAGCCTCATGCAGAGCTCACAGCTCACTCACCCAGAATAGGCCTTTTTGTTAATCGCCCAAAAAGCTGCGGACACAGGCCTGTTCATTCAGCTCAACTGCTTAACACTGCAATCTAAATAAAAAGGGAAAGAAGAAAAACTTTGTATTCCTTTTCTACCCTGAATATTAAACGACACCATCAATGTTGCCTTGGGACGCAACATCAAACCACTTCCTTTGCTCCAAGATGGGATTTAGGAAGAATGACTTTGAGGCTGACTTGCCTTTTCAAATCTCCCATTTTTCCCCCCTCATCTCAAACTCAAGGATGCAACATGAATGAAATCAGAATTAGCCTCATTACAAACAAGCAAGGGAGGGTGACCTAGATTCACTCTGCCTCTCAGAAGGAAGTGACGGCAAAAGTTTAAAACCTGTCATACGGGGCTGTCGGCTGCAGCACATTTGGGTCAAAGTTTGTTGCAATCAAATCGTGCTTTCTGAAAAGGCTTTTACTGGTGGGATGATTTGTATGGCAGAGCTGAATTATGCATGGGATTTGTACAGTCTCTGCTAGCAAATAACTCCAGCTCTTCCCTGCAGCACCATCAGTGGCTTGAACCCAGCTCCGTGTCCCTGGGCACACACGTGCTGGGCATTGGGGTAGCTCTCACCACCAGCTGTGTCAGGCAGCATCCTGTGCTGGGCCAGGTTGGAACAGGTCTTGCTACAGGTCTCAAGGTGCTAGGACAAAACATGGGGTTTTTCAATGATTTTACTAAATCCTGCCCCAAAAAAATCTCAAATCAGAGGGCCTGCTCCCAGCAAAGGCAGTCTGATTGCTGTGCAGGCTACCAAGGGAGGATGTTCAGCCCAGTGGTAGCAGAGGACTCTGCCCAGGTGACAGTCCTGCAGAAGGAAAGACATGGGAATGATCCAGCTGGTGGGGTTTGGGCCTCTAGGAGATAAGACTGGCTACCTTCCTGAGAGCCTGGAGGGAAAGCTCTCCTCTACATGGATAGTGTCCAAGCAGAGGTGGTTGCTCTTATCTTCAACACCCCCAAAAGTTTGTGCAGCACCTCAGACATTCAGCATGGCTCAGGCACCTTGCCTTGTCGGGCGGGAACAGTGTGAGACAGAAACTGTGTGAGACAGAAACTGCCGAGGTGCTCTGGGGACTCTCCCCTCCACATTCCCGCCCTTCCCATCCCCTATTTGCAGTGCAGTTCACCCAGATGCACACCCACTTGCAAACATTCTGCCAACACCAAGTCCAAGCTGCTTTTCCAGCTGGGGACAGTGCAAGCCATTGCCATTGGCAGCTGCTTTCCAGTGCTAAGGCTGAAATTTGCCACGGTCACCCTCTGCAAGGAGAGAAACAACTGTCTTAAGAAAGAAAAGAGCTTTCCCTTTTCCCCAAGCTGCCCCTCCTGCAGCCTGGACTGTGGGAGCTGAGACTCGAGCAAACTTGAGGAGCACTTGGCTCTAACTGCCTTGCTATGAGGCAGCAGCATGGGAAGGACAGTGCGACACACTGCACTCCAAATATCAAGCTCTTAATTATGTCCCAAACAGCACCTCTGCGCCTGCAGTAATGAGGGCTCAGCTACATCCGCGGCTGTTAGTGAGATCCTGTTTTACTTCATCCTCATTATGGGAAATAGCCTGCTCAGATCCAGCA